CGGAGATGCCCGCTATGTGTCCTACGGCGACTTCCATCCCTACTTCGATCTCCTCCACCAGAACCGTCGTTTTGCCCTGCGCAAGAGCGGACGATCTCTGGAACCCCAGACCGAAGAGAAGCTGATGGAGGATCAGGCTGCCAAAGAGCAGCCTGCCAAGGAGGAGCAGATCAAGGAGGAGCCGACCAAGGAGGAGCAGATCAAGGAGGATACAATAAAGGAGGAGCCGACCAAGGAGGAGCCGACCAAGGAGGAGCCGACCAAGGAGGAGCCGACCAAGGAGGAGCTGACCAAGGAGGAGCCGACCAAGGAGGCTACCAAGGAGGAGCCAACCAAGGAGCAAGACCAGCCTCCAAAGAAGGAGCAAGAACAACCTCCAAAGGAAGAACAAATAGTGCAGAAGATTGAAGAGCAGCTCCCAAAGGAGGAACAGCAAAATTCTGCATCCGATAAGGTCTCCGAATAATTTTAGAGTTACGAGAAACGAAAAGACCGAAGAATGAATGAAGAAATGAATAATGAACAACAAAAATCAACCAAAAAAGCGATTTTCAATCCACGTGAAACTTCAAAACAAAAACAACAAAACTAAAGAAATAAATTTTTTTTATGTTTTTTTTTCTGCGTGTGTTGTTGCCTGAGATGAAAAAGCCCAAGTCGAAGCCCCGAAAGAGATCTGAGAAGAGAGAACGATTGAGAGAAATGTATTAGCATAATTTCAGGTATTTCTTTTGTTTTTTGCCAGTTGAAAGTTCAAGCCAAATCGGGAGCATTGTGTTGTTGCTATTTCGAACCTCGATAATGAATTCCGATGTGAGATTTTCGTGTCGTGTCAAGTGCGTTGACCCTTCGCATGGAAGAAGATGAGGAGAAGCCGCAAAGAGACAAAAATAACCCATAACGATGGCATATTAATGGGGCCCGTGCGCTTTGACCGATTTATATTTCTTTCATTCTTTTTCTTGTTTTGCTCATTCTTTCTTGAACAGATTCCTAATTAATTCCATAATTAATATTGGCCTGGAACGAAAGAAAGCCAGCGCCGAGGTCATGCATAATTAATCTAGATAATCTGGGGACTGTTAAACGGCAACCGATAGATAGATTCATTTTGCGATTCATGCTCAGACTAAAGCCGTTAACTAGTTGATTGATTGCTTGATTGAACGGTATTCAATGTAGGTGCAATTGCTTGATAGCATCGATCACAGCAACCCTGAGTTTCTGCCTTTCATAGCCAGCAGCTTCTTAGAGCATGAAGAAACGTTTTACCTTCAGTGGAGTGTCATATCAGGCATCTATTTACATTAAAGAAGGAGTGTTTCTGAGAATGAAAAGCTTTGAGCTTTATAGAAAGGATATATATGGCCATCAAGATCGCAGGAAAAGCTCTGAAATCATTCAAATGAGCTTTAATCGAGGAATACTTTTGGAAGTACGACAAGGGCAATATCGAAGTGGAATATCAGGCCATACTCACACGCATCGAAAATACTCGTATAGGAAATTCTCTTACAGCTTTGTTCACGCCAACGATGACCCCCCGAGGGGACCATTTAGCCAGTCAAGCGCTGCCAACACTCTCCTCCCCCGTAGATCTGTGATCTGAGGCTTGGGCATGGCCCCTGGCACTACGCGTCGGACCCTTCATTGGACACTGGTCTATCGGAATTTGCATAATCATGCTCCATGCCGGTTGAAGCAGCAATCATTTGGGACAGTATTAGGCCAACATGCGAGTGCTTGAAGTGGACGCCAGAGCATCGATCGCCGACACCGAAGCGGAGCCCACAAAAAAGAGTTGACAACATTGTTCCATTCGTCACAAAGGGGGGAGGAGGGGGTCATTACCGATCGGAAAATTAATAATTCTATCCAACAAAAACGGGGTGAATGATCAGCCAAGTGGTCGGTCGGTCGGTCGGTCGGTCTGTGGCTCGCTCGTTGCTGGAACATAATTTCGAATCTCATAAAGAAATCCAGCGAGCCGCCTAACCGTAAACATTCATTCTAATTCATATTCATATTTACACATGTGCAGATATGCAGATAGATGCTCGGATAAATTCCCCAGCGAAGAGGTCACCGGCCACCTGCCACCGGCCACCGGCCATCGGGCACCTTCCAAATTGGTTTTCCATAATTAATTCTCGATTCTGTGCAAAAAGATGCCGCTCTGGCCCTGCCTGTCTCTGGCTCTGGCTCTGGCCCGGACGGCGTCCATTGAACTTTCAACTTTCTGCGCGGTCCGCAGCCCCGACCCAGACTTGCCCTGCCCAAAATGTTGTGATCTTTTCTGCTCGGCCCATAACTAAGGCTTTAATCAATTTATTAGCCATTTGGCAGAGCTGGACAGCAGCTTTCTTTGTGCCGTTTCTTTTGCCTATGTTTTCGCCCTTCCCGAAGATGACTTTTGCCGCTTTGACAAACGCTTCTTGACCCCACACATTCTTATGGAAATGAACCCTAATTCACCTCTCCGTTTCTTGTTCGTATTAGAAATTTTTTGCAGTTTTCTCCGACGCCTGTTGCCATGCGGATTCGGCCCCGGCATCGAAACTACTTCGATAAATACCATTTCAGGAATATCTTTCAACTGAATGCTTAATAAAATATGTCTGCTTTTGAGTGCAAATATAAAATTTTAAATAGAATTCATCCTTATTGAATTAAGCTATTTTTTGCGAAAAGAAAATGCCATATTTTGCACAGACTGAAAAGTTCGAATGGAAAAATGAAAAAATTAAAAAATATATAATTAAGTAAATCATTGGGTAATGGGGATGAACGAAGGTACTAACATCACATCCCCTGTCAAGGTTCTGTCTCAGAGTGGACTGAGCCCCAGATGGCATCCATTAGGGCCAGTTGGAGACAGTTGATACAGATGCCAGGCTCTGTAGCTCGAACGTATGCTTGAATTTCGGCAGCATCCCACGGATACGGACGAGAAGATCATCAGGTTTGGGGTTACAGCGCCCTGACCGATAATGAATCCGCGCATTTGGTGTTTCCTGGCCAGGGCCAGGGCGGATTGAATTGAATGAGTACCTCGCAGAGCCTTTAATATGTACAGTGTAGTCTTTAAAGTAATTCTTATTATAATATTTCCAAAATAAATATTAAACAAGTTAAGTATCATAAATGCAAGCATCTTCCAGAAGGATTCTGAGACCATGTACTTCTGGTGTTAGAGCGCGTATAAATAAACGAGTATTTCTCTTTGGTTCTGTGAACCTTATATAACATCAAACCATCATGTTTTTATATAACTTATTAAAATTTTGTCAAAATCTGGCACAGAAAAGAAGCTGAATGATGGCGTATATTGCGTGGGAAGGGTCGACCTAGGTCTGTCAGCCTGCCAGCTTAAGATCCAGATTTATTGGTGATATTATTGATGGGGCTTCAAGGGTATACAAACATAGGCCTGGTGTATTTAATTGATTTAAGTCCAAAATTGATTTAAAAGTATATCAAATTAGTTTTAATAGATTTCTGGCTTCTATTATATTTTAGAAAGTTTTCTTTCAAGCTTATAATAATAGAGAGACTTAATAGAGACTGAAAGAAAATGTAGCTTATCTACAAGAATTTATCAAATAATCTCTGTAAAAACAAAAACAAAACGTGTGCCACAAAATATAACCATATCTAAAACCCGAGGCACTGAATGACATTTCCCCAAAACTTGTATCTAACAAATCACGAATCTTCAATTCTACCTTTGAGAAATCTAACTTGCTCTGTGGCCGGAGCAGAGGTCGCCATTCCCTCTACAGATGATTAGCTCTGTAAGATGCATTATCTTATTATATATTATAATGCATTATATATTATTGCCCATCATTTCACGCTTGGCCAGGAAATACCAGGACCGAGGACACATCCTCTCTGTCGGAGCTTTGACTTCCATTGGTGTTAGATCGCTTTGTGCTACTATGGAAATTACTGACAATTTTGGGCAATTTCTCTTATTCTATAATCTATGATCGTAGCTCCTCCTTCAAGCCCATTGCTTCAGCCAGCTGGGGCTGGGCCTGCTTTGAGAAAAAGTCATATTTCAAATCACAATGAGGGCCCTATACCATGGGCAATCAATCAGCAAAGGTTTCTTCTTGGTGCCGAGTCGGAAGGGGGTCACGGAAGGCACACGAGCAGCGTGCGAATAGTTGGCCATCTTGGCCATCTTGGCTTCGTGTGGCTTCGACCTGTGCGATTTATGAAGTGGTATCAGCGAGAGCACTCTTGAGCAGTATATGATCGGGGGCCTAGGCTGGTGCCCCAGCAGTTTCGCATGCGTCGCTGACTTGGGCAGCAGGTCCATGACTCGGCGGCCCATTGATTGGGAGGCTCTTGTGGCTTTGGGCATCTATTCTTGGCTATTCTTGGATGTTGGAGGCTGAATGTTGGATGATGGGCTTCTTCTATCGGCTCTGGTGCGTGTCTCTGATTGTTTTGTCATTAGCATGACGCTGGAGTTGCGTTGTGGCTGAGGCTGTGGCTGTGGCTTTGCCCGTGGGTTCAACGGAGCTGATTCGGGTTTGCCTTTTGGGCTCTGGTCATTTGACTTAAACTTTTGCTTATTTATTCAACTCGAGTCCCAGCTCTTTCTTTTGTTTTTTTGGGGTCACTGAACCACATTTATACCCATCCACGAAATATTTCGGTTCTTTTCTTTCTCTATTCTATTTTTCCATTTTTTTTTTGTGCCGGTCAAATTTCGCCACTTGAAATTATGCCGACATCGACCGCAATTAAGCCCAATTCTGAATATTCCATCTGATTCCATCTTTCTTCTCCCTCGTTCGGGTCCAGAAGAGTTCTTTCTTCCATTCTGCGGCGGCTAGAGCTTTTTCGCATAAAAACCTAATGCCATCGCAGCGAGCTGTACAGTTCTCTGGAACTTTGCTTACAATTAGGACCCATCCATACACTCACCGACTGATTCCAGTTTGTGCAATTGCTGTTCTGAGGATCGCCCACGCCTTCCACGCAACATGTCCAAGCTCGGTGCTCTCTTCGCCCTGAGCTGCCTGCTGGCCTTGGCCTTGGCCGAGCCACGCCTTCAGCAGCGCCAGCTCCTCCGCCATCAGCAGCAGCAGCAGCAGCAGCAGCTCCAGCAGCAGCACCCGTATCTCTTCCTGTCCATACCCAGGGGTCTACCCAATGCTGGTGCCGTTGTCCAAGGCTTTGAGATTGTTGAGGAGGCCGATGATGATGACGACGACGATGTGGCGCAGCCTGTCCATCCTCAGGATGATGATGATAATGATGATGACAATGGTGAGGAGCTCAACGACGATGATGAGGATGAGCTGGAGCACCAGCTGGGCCTCAACTTTGCCCGCCACGGCCAGTTGGTTCTGCTTAACAACCAGAACAAGAACCACTTCCAGGAGGACGAGGATATCGAGGATGATGATGATGAGGACGATGAGCCAGCCCAGGCCTTGGTTAACCTCCGCAAGACCCCCAACCTCAACCTCAATCTGAACCAGGCCAACGGCCAGCCCAGCGGCCAGCAGCTTCTGAAGAACGCAAAGCCCACCCAAATGGTGATCCCCAGGGATCAGGCTGGTGCCATCATGGTGCCCGACGGCATCATTGAGATCGAGGGCCAGAGCGTCGTCGATGAGAAAACTGGCAAGGCTGCCCTTCTCGTACCCCGTGCCGCTCTTGATGCCATTCCCGACGGCGCCGTCGTCGCCCTCATGGAGCGCTCGGCCTCCGCCGCCGACTCCGATGCCGTTGAGGAGGAGCGCGCCAACCGCGTCGTTGTCCGCCGCCGCAAGAATAACGGCCGTCGCAATATTCGCCGTCGCGGCTCAAACGGACGTCGCCGTCGTCGTCGTGGTGGTGCCTCCGGCAACAGGAGACGCCGCGTCGGTGGCAACCGTCGGCGCAACGTACGCGTAATCCGACCCACCAGCAACCGGCAACGCGGCCAGCGACGCCGCGGGGGTCAAGTCGTCCTGCAGGGCTAACGACGCCTTTTACCAGGAGGATTGAGGATTGAGGAGAGAGGTCCTTTCTCTGACGATCCCATTTCCATAGTATTATAGTTAAGAGCTAAGCCGAACCTCTGCACCTGACAAGAAATCTGCGAAAAATTGATAACGATTTGATGACGAAATAAAATGTGATATGAAAATAATCTATTTTTTTATTATTTGCCATCCATTTGGGGAATGACTGTTTGCAGGTAGAGCTCACAAATTTTCCAAGCTACATATTTATTTTTGGCATTGTACCCATGGCTTATACCCGTGACTAAGCTATATGGCGTTTACGTATATTCATATACACCTTTTAGAATATTTTGACAACAGATCCCAAAAAGTCGCCATATTGTGGTAAAGATTATTCTCCGATTTCCAACTTATTGGTTTTATTAATGGCATTCCCATTTATTCCCCATTAAGGGCTGGGTTTTTTTTTTAGAAAATGATAGGGAACAATTATTGAACAAAGCCACAGTTGAACTTCTATAACTCGAACGTCTGTGACTTGAATTTGATAGATTTCCAACTAAAATGGGTGGCAACAGCGTTTGAGGAGCACATTACGTCCAACTCTTTAAGTCGAAGTCCCCATTGGTGGTTCTTACATACATAAGTATATGCATTTTAAATTTCAAGTTAAGAAAGACTGTGGCAAAAACTCTGACCCGGTGGCACAGATTTATTGGCACTAACTGACAGGCAATTATGGTCAGGGAAAAGCCCAAAGCCTAACAAAATAAGTTTAAAGTTAAGTTCAATTAAATTCTATAAATCAGTAACGTGTTTGTGACCTTCAAAGCAAAAGTGCACAAAGAAAAGCAAATAGAGAAATTTATTATAATTATGGCAAAGACTATGGACAAAAAAATAATGTTCCGTGTAGTTAGAAGATGCAGAGGAAAGTAAAGCCTACTAAGTGGACCGATGAGGGCAATTGAGGGCTCCAAAACGGAGAGAAGTTTGTAGAGAAAAGGCATTCCGTGGCACATTACTCGGCTTTCAAGAGAGTGAATGTTAATAAGACCCAAGAAAGGGTTTCAAGAGAAGCCCATTTTGAAACATTTAAGGCACAGAGGAGACCACTCAGCAGGAATAGGAGGGACATATTGTGGTAAAATTGGGGTAATATGATCCAGGAATGCCATAGACCGGCTTTTAATGAAACCAAGGAGTTCCTTGGCTTTAATCGACCTTTCGGATATGGGGAATTCAAGCATAGCTTGGCACAAAATTACATAATAAACAAATGTATATTTTATATATTTATTATACATACATGTATGCACTTATATACTCGACTAAATTTGTCCTGATACTTCAATCTACGGACCTTTTCTAATTTTATTCATTTGATGTTACAAATATTTGAATTACATATTTCATAATTTCGGAAGAAGCTACATAGAAAAAAAATCTCATTGGACACCGCATATTCTAAGTAGCTGTAGAAGTATACTGGAAATGCACTTTAACCTAATGGATATTACTGAAATGACTATAAGATTTCACTAATTTTGTTTTATAATAATGTTGACGTATTACCAATCTTTTTTTTCTCAATTCATGTCATCTGAGAACTTCAATTCTACTGAACTGATAGTAGATCTCCATGCCTTACACTTATTGAACATTTACTGCTTACAAATCTGTTCAGTGGAGCAAAATATTTATTAATTAATCGATTAACAATCGAATAATACGAACCATATTCATCACCTTACCTTTACCTTTGAACATAAAAATTACACAATGTCTGATGTCTTTTTATTGGACTGGAAAGATTTATGGTATGATCAGGAGAAGGCAAGGATCAGTCTGACAATTGGGACAGTATAACTAGAACCCAACACAATTCCAGACATGATACGTATACAATTCCATACATATCCTTACGAAGAAACACTTGCAATGAAGGGGGGATGCCATTGCTGGCATTTCCTTGGATGTGTCCGCTGTGTCCACAGTGGCCGCAACGAAGAAACCAACTGAGTCAAGTGTGAAATAGTTTGTGACCGATGGTAGGGGTCAAGCTCTTCTTGTTGTGCCATTCTCCGAAGCTCTCCCAGTTCCAAGTTGAGTTCTCAAATCTGACGTCAATCAATCATTGGTTCAACTGGAGAGAATGTTTTGGCAAGCAAGAGAAATGTGTGGAGAATTAGCATAACACTCGTCTGCTGAACCATGGCCCCTGTTCACTTTGACCCGCCTGGGGCGCTTCTCGGCCCAGCTAATAGCACTGCCAGAGAGAGGGGTGGACGAGGTGGAGTGATGGCAATCGATCAACGGTTCTGACCAGAACTTTGACTTTGACGGGCTATATAATCGCCGGACTCTCGTCAGTTGTCAGTCAGTTGCGAGTGCCAGCTCAGAGACAACAAGTAGCTGAATCCAATCCTTTCCAGGTCCTTTCATCCATCCAATATCCAATATCCAACATCCAATCCGACCCAGAATGCACTGCCTGCTACAGCTGTGCTTGGCGCTGGCCTTCTGCGCCGTTCTGGCCCCGTCAGCCACTCTTGGTAAGTCCTCCCAGAGCACTCCTGGTCCAAGGGATACTACAACCTCCAATTTGCAGCCGAACGCCGGCAGAGCTATCGCCTGGGCCTGCGCTCCGCGGGCCGCCTCGAGGATGGCCAGCCGGAGGGCAGATTCACCTCCTCCATAGCCAACAAGTTCAGCTCCCTGAAGGGCACCACAACCACAACCACGGCGGCTGCGACAACGACCACAGTCACAACCTCGCCGACAACGCCCACAACCACGTCCCCTACTACTTCCCCCACCACAACGTCAGGTACATCGACTGCGACGTCCTCGCCGACTACCAGTCCAACCGCGACTACACGTCGGGCCTTTGGCAATGACAATGATGGGGACTCCGACGAGGAGCTGGCCCGTGCCTACGACGACGAGGAGGACGATGAGGAGCAGGCGGGCAGCGGCAACATGGAAGACGACGATGAGACCGACGATGATGATGACGAGTACTATCTGCTTGCCGCTGGATCCGGAGGCAATGCCGTCCAACAGGTGGAATCCAACTCCAACGCGGCCGTGGCGCGCCCCACCGAGCTGCAGTGGCGCCAGTTCCAGGCGGATCAGCGCAACCGTCGTCGCATCCAGCGTCTGCAGCAGGAGCACAACCAGCGACTGCGGGCCCTTCTGCGCCGCCAGCGCCGTGCCGACCGTCGCAACTCGCAGCGCGTGCGCCGCATCCAGAAGCAGAACCGCCGTCGCTCCACACGCCGCGACCGTCGCAATCGGAGCCGCAGCAAGGCCCAGCGCCAGCGCCGCCGTCGCAACAACCAGAGCCGCCGACGCCGTCAGCAGAGCCAGCGCCAGCGTCGCCGTCAGCGCCTGAACCAGCGTCGCCGCCTGCGCCAGCTGATGCGCCGTCGTCGTGGCGGTCGCCGTGTCGTCCGTTTCTAGGACCCTCGAAATCCGATCCCCAATTCGACTTTGACCAAGCGCCTGAAATAAAATAATATTGTATGCGAATCAAACGTTTATTCCCATCTCCAGATTTTCTGAGATCTATTTAGAGTGTTGGAATTGATTCAAAAATATTGGTGATCTAGTGAAGAAATGGCAACAATCTTTAAAGGTCTTGTATTAATTGCGTATTCCTGAACATCCTGAAGATCTTCCAAGCAGAGATCAGGGGCTACTACTAGTATAAAAGTATGCATAGTGCCATCTTATGGAAGGATTTATATTCCATATCTAATTGTTCTTGGAGACCAATTCCAGGAACTAATTAAGCTTTCATTGGATCCACTATTCCTCTGTACAACAGTGCTGATTGTTCCCCATCCGAATCATTAATGAACTGGATCTGTACGGTTATGTTGGGCTCAGACAGCGGTTCATTGACATCGACTACACTTTCGCCCTTAGGTAGAAGTCTGAGGAGATTCTGGCCTGACTCCATGTATGAATATGCTAATGCTAATCGATGGATCGATTCGCGAGCTATGCAAATGGGGAGCGATCGCTGCTGAGGTTACGAGGTTCTTGCGAGGGGTCAGCGGATTCGGCTTGGCTTTGGCTCTGGCTTTGATTATTTATGGCTTTATGCAAAACGACTTACATCTTGGTCTGCGCTTTCTTGTGCCCTTTCTTCGGACCACACTTGGACCAAACCATGGACCCACTCTATGGCATCCATCCATCTATCTCTTTTCCTCTTCCTGAGCGAGTGCGATTTTTGTTGTTGTAAGCGTAAGCGTTCGTAAGTGTTACATCTTTGAGGGCCACGAAGGGCCTTGGCGTTGTAAGTTGGTGACATATGTATAAATATGCCAGGCTGGGCCCTTCGAAGTCAGTCACACCGAGCCCAGCCATCGAGAGAGATTCGCAAGCAGCCAGATTCCGCCCTAGCCAAGCCCAGTAGAATCATATCGTCTAGGACATGCATATGCTCAAGGGATTACTCGTAGTGGTCTGCCTGGCAGCCATTGCCAGCGGTAAGTAGTGCTTACAGCTTGAGCCAAGACAACGAACCGCCAAATCTGAACCCAAAACACTTGCAGCAAAGCCCCACCAGGCCAAAAGTGGCCAGAACTATCAGCTCTTTGGCCGGCAGCGCGATGAGCCCAACGCACAGGGTCGCCTGAGTGCCACTCAGCTGACGGACATCATCAACAGCCTGAAGGGCACTACCACCACCACTACGGTGGCGCCAACCACCACCGGTACCGGTACCGGCACGACAACCACCAGTGTCACACCCACATCACCCACAACAAGCACTGGCACGAGCACCACCAGCCCCACCACCGCCAGCCCAACTGGAACAACTGCCACTGGAACTGGCACTGGCACCGGCACCGGCACCGGTTCCCGTCAGTTGGACAGCAATGATGACGAAGAGGAGGAGGAGTTCAATGAGCACCAGTTGGCCGGTTTCGAGCATGACGATGATGAGGATGCGGAGGGGGACGATTCCCATGCAGTGGCTGCCTCCGCCGCCCGGGCCACCCGCAACAACTCAAGCCGCCGTCGCCAGAACCGTCTCCGTCGCCAGCGCCGCCAGCAACGTCGCAAGCTAAACCAGCGCCGCCGTCGCCAGCAGCAGAAGCAGCAGCGCCGTCGCCAGAAGCGCCGTCAGCAGCAGCAGCGCCGTCGCAAGCAGCAGTTGAATCGCCAGCGCCAGCGTCGCACCCGTCGCCGGAACCAACGCCTGATCAAGCGCTTCCGCCAGGCCACGCCCAACAGGAACCGCCGTATCCGCGTGCGTAACTAATCCCAGAAGCCCAGACTCTCTGAACAGTCCATGTGACCCCATCCATGAGCACAAATAAAGAAAACCTACATATGACACGAACTACTACTGTCCTCAAAATAGAGGCCCTTATCGTAAGCTCAGGAATCTTTCCACAATATTGATTTGATCAAAAACAAGGCCCCGAAAACAAAACAAAAAACATTTTCAGTGCAAACTTGCTTGGGAGGACTACTAAGCATCACTCTGTTTGCTGCCCAAAACGCTTGTCCCCACATAAGTTCTTATGGAGAACATGAAGGCATGCCATCCATCTGTAGAAAATTGGTTCGCTATGGAACAGCTCCTAAAACAGCAGAAAAATTTGTGATTTCTTTGATTCAGCATGGGATGAATGGATATGCAATAGTTCTTGGAGAAAAATAATGGCTAGGTCCAATATAGAACACCGTTTCGAATCATTAGTCTGCACTGTAGCGAGAATCTGTACCAGAATCAATTCTAGATGCTAGATACTAGAACGAGGGTCAAACTAGTTCAACCACAAAGGGGCGATGGGCGATGGGCGATAGACCTGTGGCGATGAAGACGCTGGTGGTGTCACCGAAATTTATGCAAAAACTTTTTTAAATTTGCAAATTTGCGAAAAGAAATGATAATGAGACATTTTCGGCAAATTTTTGTTGCTTCTGTAGAGTCAACAGTAACTGAAGCGTTGAGCCCGGGTTGGGTATATAATCCCGAGTGGCCGCTGGCAATGGCACAGTCAAACAGCGACCTTCCCTAAGGCAGAGCAACAGCCCCGATCCAGAGCTATAGACAGAGACTGAGATTCAAACAGTACCAGCGGAGAAGGATAAGCCCCAAGTCGAGCCATGAAGTTCTTATGTTACGCTTTGCTATTGGTAGCCGCAACAGCCGTGGCCCAGGCTGCCGGTGAGTGACCCTTTACCCCTGATTATCGGGGACCACTTGATCCCTGGCCGACACTACTTTTCGGTTCCTTTTTACAGCGGAACGCAGCGATGAGGAGAGCGTCGCCCGGCTGAGATACCGCCTCTTAAAGCAACCAAACCAGTTGGAGGCCCGGAGTCTTAGCCAGCTGCTGGCCTTGAAGAACGGCACTCCCCCATGTCCCGCCCCAACAACCACTGGCACTACTTCCCCTACCGTCACCCCTACCACAACTGGTACTACTACGGGACCAACTACTTCAACAACCACCAGCTCCCCAACAGCAACAACAGCATCACCAACAGCACCAACAGCATCACCAACAACAACAGCCACCAGACGTGCCCTTACCGACTACAGCCAAGAAGATAACGATGACGACGACGGCGAGGATGACGACAACAGCGAGGACGAGAAGTATGTGGGCGCCTACAGGGCCAGTGCCAAAAACGACGATGACAATCTGGACAACGAGGAGGACAGCTTCGACCTGGTCGGTTACCAGCACAATCGCGCCGATTCTGGCCTCCGTCGAGGCGGCAGCCGCCCCGGCTCCGGATCCGGCTCCCAGGCTTCTAGCAGCGCCATCTTGAAGGAGTTCGAGTTCCGCCGCCAGCAGGATCAGAACAAAGCCCTTCGCAAGCGCCTTCAGGCCATGCGCCGGCGCAACGCCCAGAGCCGACGCCGCGCCCAGGCCAAGCGACGCCGCGTTCGCCGCCGCCTCAACAAGAAGCGCCGTAGTCAGGGTCGCCGCAGCCGTCGCAACCGCAGCCGTGCCAACCGTCGCCACCGTGCGGCCCGCCGCCGCCAGCGCCAGAACGCCAAACGTCGTATCCGTCGCAACCGCAGACGCAACCGCCGCAACTAGATCCACATCGGATATTTGGCCTTGTAGACCCCAAATGAATCAGTGATGAATAAACCGAATATACAGAAACACTCACTGTTGTCCAATTTTATCCCAGGAGGAACAGAGGAACACTCTGAACTCGGTGACTTTGAATCTCGCATGTATCCGAAACATTCATTGATCCACTGAAAATTCTCAGAGATGACGTCCACTAAGGGGCCTCTGTATAGATCATTCTAGGTCAACGAATATAAAACACTAGAGGGCAAGCCCACTGCGAGCTCCCGCCTCACTTTTTTCGCTTCGGTAGCTTGCACCGATATGAGTCAAATATCGGGCCAGGACGACGACTTAAAACTTTTTTATTTAAAAGAGATCCAATCATCCTCAAAAACCTGCAACATTACCTTTTCTTTGTACACCACCCATCATAACTTCCATAACTCGAAACACTATTATCCAAAGAAAACGTTCGACTTATGGACACTTCGACCCACAGAGTCTGACGAAATGTGCTCTCTAAACGCTGTTTGGACCCGTTTTAGTTCGAAATATAGAAAATTCAAATTCAAGGTATAGACTTCCAGAGCTTCGGGATCAGCGGGCCATAGAGCGAGATCATCGGAGTGATGATTCGAACCTTGACTCCTCGTTCAGTTGCATCCTTTATGCATCTACGGAAATCGGGTTTCATCATCATCTGAAACAGGTTTCTCCGATGATGCATCTCCATTTACGATTCGACATCTGATGAGCTCCGCAATAGGAAAAAACTTTTGAATTAGATGCATAATTCACATCAGCAAAGTTTATCATCCGCGGCCTCATTGCCTGAGAATGACGAGCATCGATGGCGACCAACAAACGATGTACTAAAGGAAACCAACATTTCGATATTCCAAGTCTCGGAAGGGAACTCCAATTTCCTCAATATCTCAAAATGAAAAACGTGAAAAAAGATAAGCAGGACCACATCGATAGCCACCTTGGCAAAGTCGAAGTGCACCCTTAAGGCCCTCGCTGCGTTGAATAATCGGCTTCAATTCTGTCCAGTGGTGCGGAATATTTTTCACAATCGATCTGGATGCGGCAGCTGACAAGCTTTACCCTGGACCAATTCAATAAGATTGCGATTGTAGAAAATATACATCGACTTTCCAGACAAAAGCTAATCGAAAGTTAGAATTATGGAAAGACTTATGAGAATTATTCCACAACTTACAAATATACAACTGAGTAAACAAACCAGTAGGCCTGACTTCGAGCTCCAAGACATCTAGAAGTCATCCGATTTTGCTTAACTTGGAATAGCTATTTTCTAAGCCATGGAGGTCATGGAGCCTCTGGCCGGGATTGTACACCCTTTGACCCGGTTGTTTCAATTATAAATTCGTTTTTTGGCCAAATTTGTTTTCACTTTTCGACCATGGCGTACGGGTATGTAACATTTGCCTGCCAGCCGCCTCTGTTTAGAAAGCGAACCTCCGAACCTCCGAACCTCTCCGAGCCGTTCCGCCTCAACGGACAGGGGACTGGGACTGGAACTGTGGCCGGACTGTCCGCAAAGATGATAAGCAGAACAAGAGGTTGACGACGAAGACGATGACGGTGAAGAACTTTGCTGAACGGGGTCCAAATAGCTGCAAGCGTTTTTTTTTTTTTCAGGCAAAATTCCAAAATGAATACCGAAATTCAATTCAATTCAATTGTGAATTGAATGAATCTGCGCGAATGATGGGCCTGGGCCTGGGCCTGGGTATAGGTCTTTGGTCTGGGGTCTGGGGTCTGGGGTCTCGGTGGTGGTGCTGGTGTATGTGTATATAGGCAAAAGTACACAGAGTGCCGAGCGAACCGTTGACTCCCTTGGCAATTTACCGTTGCCCAGAGCCAGAAGTGTGAGGTACTTTAAAGTCATTTGCATTTGGTCGGATCGGGTCTCGGGTATAAAAGGCATCCAGTTGGGGCGGTAATGTATCAAACATTCATTACCCATCCGGGCGAGAACACACGACTCCATCTCCGCCACCGCCGCCGCCTCCACCACCGTTCGGGTTGCTAGAAAAGTTCTCTGCCTCAGAGTAGTTTCCAACTCAGCCGCAACTTCGCCGCACAGTCAATGATGAAGCACCAAGTGTCCCTGGTCCTGCTGGGTTGCCTGCTGGCTGCTTGCCTCGTCCAGGCCGGCCCCGGTCAGGAGAAGCCCAAGTCGGCGGCCCAGCTGCTAAAGGCCCGACGCAGTTCCTACTTCAATGAGCCGGCCCTGGCCAAGTTCAGATCGAACGACGCCGATCTCGCCGTGGCCCTGGACCAGAAGGCCGACCAGGATAAGCTGACCGTTGGTGGTGCGGCGGCTCAGGGCAGCAGCAGCTCGACAGGCACCAAAGACGCTTCGAGTGGACGCCTCTTCCTGAAGAAGTTCCTCATGTTCAAGAACATGTTTAGCAGCAGCAGCCAGCCCGTGATCCCCATCATTATCACTGGAGCTGGCACTGGCACCACGGGCACCACCGGCACCGCCAGTCCCACTGTGACCGTCACTTCCACGGGTACCATTCCTTCGGCCACGGGAACCATCACCACCTCACCCACGACAACAGGCACAACCACAGCTCGCCAAGGCGATGCCCTACCCTATGGAGCCAATGCGGAAGACGACGATCCAGCGGATGCCGATGAGCCTCAGGCCCAGGCCTATCCCGGCGCCCTGGCAGCCAATGCCGAGATGCTCGACGAGCAAGCCTTGGAGGCAGCCCTTGCCGCCGGAGCCCAGGAATACGAGGTTGTGACCGATGCGGAGGTCCAGGGCACCGGCGCCACCGAGAGCAAGGCCACCCAGAACAACCTTATAAATCTGCGCCGCAAGGGAGCTCGTCGCGGCCAGCAGATAAGCGTCCGCATTCCTCCTCGCTACCGTCGCTACTTCAAGAACGGCCAGAAGGTGATGCTCAACACCAACCGCCGCCCCAACAAGCGCCGTGTGGTAAGGAAGCGCGTCCAGAACAAGAAGCTGCAGAACCGTCGCCGTGTGAACGGAGGCGGCAACAAGAAGAACAACAGGAAGAACAGGAACAGGAACAAGGGCAACAAGCGTCGCGTCACAGCCGTCTAGGCGGTGACACACAGAGAGAAAGGGTGAGCTACTCCCCCCACCCCCACCCCCACCCCCAGGCTCGATCGGAGATCATTGATCCCTTCCACACGAACAACACACAGATTTTTTTTTCTAATTTATTGTAGCTAATTTTTGATTTGAAGCCCCACTCTATTTGGGCATACACAGAATAAATGAATTCTTTTTGAAAAGTATGTACTTGACCCACATTTATGTAAATTTGGATAGATCGCAAATGGTGATGGTGATCGCCATGATGGGGCGGAAAATATGCCCCCGCAGGCAGTTTTCGTATTTAAGACAGTGGCCCGCCTCGGGCCGAGAACAAACATGGATTGCTTGCCGTTCTACTACTTGATGATCTTGTCGATCTTCTTCGTCGCTTCTTTCGACGGCAGTACAGCCGCCGGCTGCAGTGGTAGGCTCCGATTGAGAGCCAGCGATGTGGCCAAGGCAGAGGCCCAAATTGATCTCAGTCAACTGAGCGAGAAGCAATTGCAGCAGTTGGTCCAACAGTTGGCCGTTCTACAGACCAAACAAGAAGAAGAATCGCTTGAGGATCAGGACTTTGAGGACCTACAGCAGGATGAGGACGACCATCGGGGCAGCAGTCGACCCTGGAACAAGATCCAGCGCATAATTCGTCGCCAGTTGGTGCGCATACCGAAGCGTTATCTCAAGAAACTACTCCGCCAGTTTGGATTGGCTCGAAACATCGGTGGCAGTAATGTAAGGGCTGTGGACTTGGCTCCTCGGGCTGATGAGTACTATCTAATACCGCTGGAGTGAAATAAATGATACGACTATTCATAACTACATTTTTTCAGTTTTGGGGTTGCTTCCAAGTGGGACATTTTCGGGAATTTTTGGGAAGTCTTTGAATTAATTTTGAGGCTTGTTAGCTTTCATAAAATGTCCCCATAGTTTTTCAGGCTTCTCACTGTCGTAAAGTTGTCTCTCGCTGATCATTTAGCGTTCGTAGAGTGGACCTTTTTCTATAAGAAATGTTATCATTCGAACTGTTCGGCTAACATTGGGCTATGATAAAGCTTTCAGCATAAGCTTTGTGTCAAATAAAGCTGTAGTTAAGCTTTCACAGAAGCTCCCCATCCATCTGTTATCTAACCCAACCAGCTGATCAGCGCTGCGTGAACGATAACTATTACTACCACAGAGTCACATTCAGCCAGAAATCAGAGTTCAGAGTGGCGTGTTGTTTTGTGCTGGATTTTGAATCTAATTGAAGCTCTTGGCATAATGACCGGCGGAATACTTGCGGGAAAGGTGGCATTGGTCACAGGTGCGTGTCGCTCAGCTTTGCAACAAATTTATTCTATGATTCTTACCCCGTGTATTGCAGGCGCCGGATCTGGTATTGGGCGTGCCACCTGCCGTCTGCTGGCCCGCGATGGTGCCAAGGTAATCGCCGCCGATCGCAATTTGCAGTCTGCCCAAGAGACAGCCAAGGAGCTGGGAGCAGGACGATCTGCGGCTCTGGAGGTGGATGTCTCCTCCGCCAAGAGTGTCCAGGGAGCCGTTACCGAGGCGCTGCTGAAGTTTGATCAGGCCCCCAGCATCGTGGTCAACTCGGCGGGCATAACACGGGACGGCTACCTGTTGAAGATGCCGGAAAGGGACTTCGACGACGTGTACAGCGTCAACTTGAAGGGCACTTTTTTCGTCACCCAATACTTTGCCAAGGCCATGATCGAACAGCAGCTGGAGGGCGGCAGCATTGTTAACCTCTCGAGCATTGTGGCTCGCATGAACAACGTGGGACAGGCCAACTATGCGGCCACCAAGGCTGGAGTGATCTCCTTCACGGAGGTGGCGTCCAAGGAGTTCGGCAAGTTCGGCATCCGCGTCAACTGCATCCTTCCCGGCTACATTGACACACCCATGGTGGCCGTAGTTCCGGAGCCGATCAAGCAGGAGGTGGTACAGCGCTGTCCGCTCGGGCGCATGGGCAGGCCTGAGGAAATCGCTGAGGTTATTGCCTTTTTGGCCTCCCAGAAGGCAGCCTATGTCAATGGCGCAGCCATTGAGGTCACTGGCGGCCTCAAGTGATCCAGGAGCTAGGGGGTAGAGCTAGAACTTTGCATTTATTTGTTATAACATCATTCAGAAGTTGTATTCTTAATAGAACTGATCTTGTGATGACCTAACAAGGGTGTAATCTCTTAATAGGTTGAAGATACAGCTGCTCCCACGTAGCACCTGCCACCTGTTGCGGCCCTGCTCAAATTGGAACGAACATGATCGTTGCATCGCCACCTATGGGCGAGCTTCTGTGTTAATTGTAGAGCTTTCCGAACTACAGACAGGCGGTTAACAGCGCATGCTTCTCTCAAGCGAACAGCACTGTTAAACAACTTAACAGTGGTGTGTTCTGTTGAATTTTTGACTGCGTAGCATGAAAGATCAATGTTTGGCGTATTATTTTGTATTATTTTAACTACTTTTGAAACATGGGCTTAAGCCGGAAAGGGGGGGTCAAATTTCCCCCAGTGCAGACCATTAAAAAATAGGATGTTTGATGTTTGTTCTACCTATAATAGTCTTACCTATAATAGTCTACGGAATACTTCAGGATAGGTACGCAGAGGACACCATTCTGTTTTTTTTAATCAATAAACTTTATTACAATGTTGCAATTGTATTTATTATTATTATAATAATATATTAATATATAATAAATAATATATTAATAATAATAATATAAAATATATTTTTTCGTTCGTTTTTGAACAATTTCATGAATCTTGCATACTTTTAGGCTACATTGAAAATAAAAGGAAATATTTGTACATATGTAGACCTGCAGTACATACATATGTAAATGTATGTATGTAATATGTAATAATAGTATTTATTCGCTTGGGATGAGAATCATAATAAGGTTGGCAGATCGGATACCAGGCCAAAACGCAGTCCTCTTTCCGCCCAACCGACCGAGGGGCGCTGCTGCTTGACGCGCGACGCGTATAACCGAACTGGTCGAGTTCAACCAGGAAAGATATATGTATAAATGTTAGACCAATATTTGAGGATTCGAAATTTTAGCTAAATTGAACTAAAAGAGATAAGCATGCATTCTAAATACAAATACTAATACATACTAATTACGGGAAAGGTGTGCTAGTTTTAGTAAGTGAAGAGGAGGAAGGGTGGCTATTTCTGAATACTTAACCTCTTATTTGAATGGTTCAAGCCTAATTCCAGGACCTAGTGATTGAGGATCTACTTACCACGCGATGGGCTAGGACTGTTGTATTGCACGAGAAACATTCCTATTAGACGTCTGAAGCCGAACTCTCTCTCTCACTCTCACTCCCTCTCTCTTTGTCTCTGTCTCTGGGAGCCTTGAAACCACCTTGATTGTTTCGGTCGGGCCCCCGTATCCATCGAAAAACGCGACCCCGACCCGACCCGACCGAGCGACCATTCAACCACAAAAGGACCATCGAAGTGGGAAATGGAATTCGTGACACAGCTTGTTGTGGTCATTGGGGTGGCACGGGGTCCTTTTGCGGAGGGTTCTCGAATGGGGTGTGGGTTGTGGGGTGTGTGGAACCACCGAAATGTACAATATTAATATATTTCACAATTCCCCAGCTGCTAATTAACTCAGTTGGAAGCGTACACATGCACACACATGCACACAGATACAAAATACCCACACATACATAAATACAAGGCTGTCAACCGACACATATGTTTGTGGAAGGTGGTGGAGGGCAGGGGTGAGTGATGAGGGGTAGCTGCAGAGGGGATCCTGGGCTGTGGTCGTGCGTGCAATTTAAATAATGAAGACATTTTATTAATTCAAGAAATTCAACTCGCCCATACTTGAATACGGCCCAGGCCCGCACACCCATAGATACTTCCGTACACAAACATTGACATATTCATAGACACACATACACACACCACACACACATAGCCACACACGCGTAGAGTAGCAATTACAGCGGCAGCCCAACATTAAGCAACCTCCCACCACAGAAAACTTTCCAGGCATTTGGGGCTATGGCCTCAACCTAGCAACCACCCAGCCACCAGGCCAACCGCCCAAGCAGCACCCAGCAGCCCACACACCCCTTATTTCTGAATGGCTTTCTAGTGCGCTTCCCATTTCCCATTTCCCTGCTTCGTTTTTAGTGCATAGTGAAAAACAAAACATTTGCTAATCATATGAAGGGGGGCAAAGTTCTAGCAAAGCCTCAACCTCTCTCCCTCTCTCTCTCTGTCTCTGTCTCGTTCCGCCAAGCTGAGGCCGTCTCTTTCCACCACGCTGTAGCCGTCTCTTTCCAGCAATTAACAACGCAGTGCGACACAAGTAGCGACGACAAGCCAACACTTGAGCCGTAAACCAGCCCCACACGACCCCAGGAAGGACCCCACAATCCTCCCACCTTACCACACCACAGCACACACCAGGCCCACATTCAACACAACCGACTACCGACCCAAGACCCAAGACCAGGACCAAACCCACTCCATAGTTGGAGCCCTGGCACTTGCCATATCTCATGTTAATGAAATCGTAACTCTTCGTGCGCCTCGTGTCCGTTTTTTGTCCCCTCTTTTCTGTCGCCCCAGCCCAAGGATGACTCCCCTAAAAAGATACAAAAAGAAAAGCTGAGGTGGCTCCGAGAAGGATGGCTCCTCAGATCGCACGAATTCACCGGACAATGGAAGAGGGGAGAGGGGAGAGGTCTGGGATTGGTTGGGGATTGCTTTGGGATTGGTTGGGGAGCAGAGAGAGTTCTTCCCACTGAAAAGCAGCAGGGCTATGGAGGAGGAGCAGGCAGGAAGTCGTGTGCGAACAAAAGGTGCCACAAAAGAAACCCGCCTGTCAACGCTTCGAACAGTAAATACTCTGAAGGTGTACGGATTGATAAGCACAAATATCTGTACAGCTCTGAGACAGTTTTGTAAAAACGAGGAGCAGAATCATGGTAGTCCCCCCTGGATAGCTTTCACTGCAGCACACATCCATCTCTTTTATTGTGTGCGATCTCAAGAGCGTCTCCCTTTTGCAGGAAAATGTCTTTTATTTCGAAGGCGAATTTCCATGGATGGTTCTGCCTTGAGAGCTTTCACTGTGCTCTCCCTCTGCCCCAGCGCCCCATTCTTTTCGGCCTTTCTTCGTGAGTATTGGGCGGCCTGCGATCTCACGTGTGTGCGTCCAGCCCAGGTTTCAGGTGTTCTCCCCCGAACAGCATTCCAGCAACAAAGAAATGCTAATTAACACAGCTAACCGCAATTGCAACTTCCTTCTGACTAAGTGCACGTATGACCAGCCCCCCCACTCCATGCCACTCAATTCCCAACCTTTTCCAGGCCCACCCCCAGCACCCCAGCACCCCCACCACCCCCAGCACCCCAACATGTGTGACAGCTTCGAGGGTCGCTCTGTGACAAAGGGCAACTAATTTAGTTTAATGGGCGTCGTGCGCGACTTTGTTGCCACAGCCGCAGAATTTCTTGCGGCCAACTCTCGGCCCCGAGAGCGGGGGGCTTGGTGGCCGAGTGGGGTGGCTCTGTGGGTGGCGCCGGGTGGCACAGAGCCACCCTTACGCACTCTCATTAAGCATTTTTAGTCGAGCTTAGCGAGCCGTTTGTTTGCATTGTCAACTCTGACCCACCAACTCCGAGGGAGAGAGAGCTGGAAGTTCGACTCCGACTGGCCATAAATTAACACACATGGTGCGGTGGTGGTGGTGCTGCTGGTGGCCTGCCAACATTTTAATTTCACTTTTGTTTGTTTGATTTTTGGCTTTTTGCAGTTTGCTCGACAGTTGGCCATGGCCAGGCCAACTCAACTCCCTTTCCGGCCAAGTCCGGTCCGGTCCGGCCTGTGTGTCCTGTCTATATCCCTGCCCATGTCCTGGTTCAAATTAAAAATGTTTTTCCCGCTTATTTGTCTTTGGACTTGGGGACTACCCGACAGCCATTTGTTGCTGTTGGCCGCGCGCTTTGATGTCAAATTCCGAATGATTTTCCCCACTTGGTTCTGTTTTTTTTTTCAATACATTTTATTTAATTTTTTTCGTGTTTAACTTTGTGTGTGTGTGTTTTATTGTTTTTGTTTTGTTGTTTTTAGCTTATTTGTTTTTATAATTTGCATTCTGTATAGGTAAAAACACTTATATTTGTTTGTCGCTTAATTGACAAGCGCGATATCCACAAATACACGGATCTATGATAAATATAGAGAAACTAAACTGAACTTGGGGCAACGGGAATTACAGGAATTGCAGGAATTACAAGAAATACAAGAATTATACACGTCTGCTGGATGATTACTTCGAATTGTTCATTTATCAAAATATAATGCTTAGGGTCTATGCAAAAAAATTGTTTGTATATATAGTATGTATGAATGTAAATACTATGTATGTATAGCTATATCTATGTATATATATATATATATATATTTAGGTATATCATTATGTAGATGTGTGTGGGTGTGTGTGTTTGTTTAAGCTACAACTAGGATAATTAGACCGTTATACACTTAGAAGTACACTTAGAACAATTGAACTGACGAATTGAATACATGTTCTATCCTCTATCTCTTAGTTGCTGCTAGCATGGGCGCTGTCTCGAGAGTGTGTGGGCGTGTCATAAGTTAAGGCGACTGTCGAAGATCTAACATCTATCATTTGTATATTCTCTATCGGCATATCCTTATATCGAAATACTTATCTTCATACGTTTAGTTATAGCTCCAAAAAAAAAATATTACAAATTATATTAATAAATTTAAATTGTTTTTTTTTTTTTAAATTTAATTGATGAGAGCGCAGTGTCAGGGTCTCGGCTGGCTCTCGACTTAAATACTATCAGGTACTTTGGCATATTTTTTCCCTTAAATACTATCCATTCAACTGAACTACTGTCTGTCTGTATTTCTATATATATTTAGATTATATAAATCCATTTAAACATATATAATTGAATTTTGTTTCTGCTTCTCTATATTTTTATATATACTCGTATATATTGTTGATTTTTTTTTGTGGCACTTCCTAGGCATTTGTTTAAGGCATGGAAATGGTTAAAACTATTATTATTGGGTCGAAGGAGCAGCCAGATAGAAACCAACTGAGATAATTTCATGCTTAAGCTAATAGATAAAAGATAGATCATATGAAGTAGATCATATAGGCAAAAGATATTGGTAAAGAAGTGAAAGATTGAAGTGAAAGATTGAAGTGAAATACCAGGAAAGCTGGTAAATATGTAGGTGGAAAAACACAAAGATAAATTTATCGGTAGGTATATCTAAAAGATTTGTGTTTGATTATTATTCCATCTTCATTTCCAAATGGCATTAAATGATGAACCCTTAACAAATGCCCTCGCAGTGCCGTTAATCCCTTCGCTGCGCGGAAAACTCAACAGGTGCCCCTGCAGCCAACAGTTAATGTATTTTTTTAAGGCGTTTCTTAACACTCTCCCTCTCTCTCTCTTTCCTTCGATAGTTGTAAATGCCTAACACTGATTCTTTGAAGCTTAGTCTCTGTTTAGATAGAACTGCGCTTAGCCTAGATTGGAAAACCGAAGCAGAAAGCACACTACGGCTTCGAAAAAGATCATTCCCTCTGCTAAAGCTAAAGTACATTCCATTATTTTCCAGTGGGCTAGGCAGGATACCGATTAGAAAACGAAGGATCTGGATGCCAGGGGGGGTTTTGGTTTACCTAAGCCTAGTCATACAATTACGATCAGATGTGTGTGTGTGTGAGCTCTTTCTAAGCTAAATCTTTAAGTTACTCGTTACTCGATTCGAATTTTTGGTTGCTGAAAATCTTCCAATGGCGCGGACGCCCCAATCTTACCCCATTGAACGATCCAGGACAGGCCAGGAGCAGTGCAGAGCGTAGCCCTTGTCCCGTGTCCCGTGTCCCTTGAGATCAGTCTTCGAGTGGGCTGCTCGATCGAACTACTCGATCGCTTAGACCGCTGTGGGGGGCGGCAGCAGCGAGGAGTTGGAAGAGCGCAAATAGGGATTACCGTAGATGGCGCTGTACCGCGGATCCACGCTCAAGGCCATCGAGCTGGGCACCACCACGTGGGTGGTGGTGGCAGTGCTCTGGTTGCTGCAGCTGCCATTGGGCGAGGAGCTCACCACAGAGGCCGTCGTCGACTGCAGACTGGGCAGACCATTCTCCTGGCGTATCTCCCGGGATCCGATGATGCTACCCGTCAGACTGCCCCCGCTGCTGTTGGTGAGGAAGGTCATGGGCAGGCTCTGGCCGGCTGGTGGCTGGTGGTGCGGTGCCTGGTGGCTCTGCTGCTGCTGCTGCTGGTGGTGCTGGTGTTGCTGGTGGCTCTGCTGCTGCTGAAGCTGCAGCTGGTTCTGGTGATTGTTCTGAAGGATGGTGGAGCTGCCATTGGACTTGGTGGAGCACGTTGTCAGATACTGGGGCGGTGGGCTGTAGTGGGTGGTGTAGTCGCCATAGGGCACATATCCGCCGGAGATGTCCACCTTGAGGTCGCTGTAGTTGGAGGTGCGATCGCCTGGCTCCATCTTGCAGCTGACTCCTCCGTTCTTGGTGATCTGATGCTCGCTGATCACATCGGCGGGCGGCAGTTTGGTGCGATTCTTGCACTTCAAGTACATCACCAGGAGGATAATGAGGACCACCAGGAAGACCAAGGCCGATGCTCCACCCACAATTGTCACTAAAAGGGAAACGCTCTCTGTGATGGAAAGGGAAGAGAGTCAGCGGAAAGGGGAAACAGATGCAGCATGAGTAACGGAATAAATATGTTCATAAATATGGTATTATTTCTGATCTATGGTAACTATAATTCCTTGGGCAGGCAAAGAGGCAAAGGTCTTGGTACTCACTCTTGGCTTGCAGCTGTATCTCGGCCACGTCGTTGCCGTAGTCGTTGACGACAGTGCAGTTGTACTTCCCGTAGTGGTAGGCCTGGCTGTCCCGGATGATGAGCGTGCTCTTGACCCCGCCGGGCACGGCGTCCACCAGAATGGAGTAGTCATGGCCAGACTCTGAGCTGATCTCCTGTCCGTTGAACGTCCACGAGACATGACGGGCCCGGGGCACACTGCTGGCAAAGCACTCGATGCGTGCGGTGTCCCCCACCAGGCCGTACTGCGTCCGCTGGGAGCCGATCGATGGGGATCCCTTCAGGTAGACATAGGCATCCGCTGAGATCTCCGCATAGCCGGGCACATTCACCTTGCAGTAGTAGCGTCCGGCCGTCTCGTTGCTCACGCTGAAGGTGAGGTTGGTGCTGGTGCCGACAACGCGGTCGCTGGGATGCTGGATCCAGACAATGTCCGGCTGGGGATTGCTGTCCACCTCGCAGCTGAGGGACACTACGCTGCCGATGTCCGCCTCCAGGGATTGGGGACGTTGCCGGAAGCTGGGGGCATCTGTTGTTGGTGTATGGCGATGGGGATGGGGATGGGGTTGATGAGGTTTCATGTGGGCCTCTGTCTGATATAGAGCTCTACTTACAGCTTATGTCCAGGGTCTCGCTATCCTCGCTCTTGCCCACGGAATTCTGCACCTCGCACTTGACAATGGCATCGTGGAACTTGCGCGTCACATTGCGTATGATCTGCAAAGTGAAACGGAATACGAGAAGGGGGGGAGATCTGGTTAATAGAGAGCTCCACAGGCAGCCATCTAGCTGGCTAGCTGGCTAGCAAATTGTGGGAACGTTAGGCCTTTCCGGTCCAGGCCTAACTGGTTCCTATAATTGCCATCCGTCCCCGTTCCCGTTCCCGTCCCCGTCCTGGTCTTGAGTAACATTATACAACACAGCAGCAGGCAGCAGGCAACAGGCAGGCATTTTTATCGCAATAGTTGCTCTAATTATGCGCCTCGCTTCTGGAATGTTGACCAAGACCAAGACCAGGCACCGTCACCGGTCACCGAGGAACCATGGGAGCGCCACTTACCATCTCAGTTTTTTGACCGCCTATAATTGGTTCGTCGTTGATGTACCAGCGATAACGGACATCGCTGGGATTGGCATCTGCCCGGCACTCGAGTCGCACCTGGGCATGCTCCACAATCCGTTGGTGGGTTCCCATAGAGGAGCCACCAGTCGGGCCTCCTCCCAACACATTCACCTTGACTTTGGGCGCGTACTTAACCTGTGATGGACAGAAAGAAACGAGAGAAAATCGAAGATGACGTTAGTTTTTGGGGTTAAGTCAATCAATCCCACACACACTTGAGGGCTCGAGAGCTCGAGGGCTAGCACTGATGTCCCTTCTTTTGGGTTTGACATCTTCGTCAGGGATTTGTCAGCTGTGCACACACCTGACACTCAACACTACGACAAGTTGGGGGCCTGCTGATGGGGCCTTTTGTTTGGCCTGGACCATGCCATGCCTCAATTTCACACCCTGATGGGAGATGCGAGATGATGACTGGATGGCCTGATGGCCTTCGCCTTTATGCTTGAGCATGAATTAGCCCGTCAGTGTCCATGTCCATGTCCAACACAAAAGCCCCATTCAGTGTGCCATTCTGTGCTCCTGGGTTCGGGCTGCATAAATCGGCCTCCGCATCACGTAAAATTGATAGTAGGCTCAGAGCCAAAGAGCCATAGCCATACCCATAGCCCAGTCAGAGCGTTGACTGCGACGCGTCAGCGTCCATAGATAAGGCAGCCTCATCACCAGGCCCAGGTTCAGGCTCAGGTGCAGGTCTCTCCCCCTCTCGGACATGCAGAAAACTGCAATGTCCTGGGGTGGGCGGAGAGGGGGCCTGGCCTCCCCTGTCTGTCTGTGTGGACAGCATTGCTTTGCTTTGGTTTGGTTTGGGTCTGGGGCTGAGTCTGGGTCTGGAATTCGGGGTTCGTTTGGTTTTCGCTTACCTCGACACGTATTTTCGCCGAGCGATAGGTGCGGTCGGCCGTGTTCTGTGCCTGGCACGTGAAATTCGTGTTGTGGTGCTCCTTTTTCGGTGTGAGCCGGAGCACCGACTTGGCCGTGTAGCGGCGCAGATCGGGCAGCGGTATCACCGTGTACTCAATGTTATCCGTTAGCACGTTGCCCAGTCCATCAATCCATGTAATCTGCGGGGAACGAGGCAGGAATAGAAAGCGGAAGGTGTGTGTGGCAGGTTAGAGCAACGTTTCGACTATGCACATATGCGGCTTGACTTCTGCTGCCTCCCGAACAGCAGGACGACTCACCTCAGCTGCGGGCTTCCCGCCCACAGAGATGCACTCAATCTCCACCTTGCGATCCTCGGTGGCATAGATGACATCGCCCTGGGTAATTTTCGGTGCCTCCGGCGGCACCAGCACTGTCAGGCCCGCAAATGTCGACCGGATGGCCGGCTGTCCCTCGGGGCCGGGACTCACTTGACACTGGTACCGGGCATCGTCGTCCAGCATCACCGGGTATATGTCCAGCGAGTAGTCGCCCTCCTCGTCGCTGCCAACCATCGCGTACCGCTCGAAGCCGCTCAGATCGCGGGAGGTGCCCAGCCCGAAGTCGTCCTTGGTCCATTGGAGGGTGCCCTGCTTGTTGATGACGCGGCAGGGCAACGTAACGCGTGCCCCCACCACGGCCGTCTGGTCCTGCGGCTCCATGGCGAATCGCTGATTCTGATAGCTCGTAAAAGGCGAGGCATGGGCCGGCAGGACCGTCACTGACGTCAACACCAGCAGCAGCACCGGCAGCATCATCGCGAGTGTCTGCATCGTGGGCGGCTGATGTCTCCTCCGTTGCGTCATCCGAGTGGCTGCAACAGACAGAAGGGAGGCACAAATGCGATTGCGGTTTAGTTAGGGTTCACTGGGTTTTCTCCTTAAAGTTTACTATGGAGTTTTAAGGTGCTGTATGGCGATTTCCATAGAAACTTCCACCATTGCATGCCAAAATATATGTACATAATTCTGCTTAAATCATATTCATTCATTTGAATGTGAGCACGAAATTTTTCCTGTATTTTAATAGTTTTTTGTTTTTATAAATCAAATATATTTAAATCAATTATTTGAATATTTATGTAAAATAAATTAATGGCAGAAATATTTAAAATTTCAGGGCTTTTTTCTCCACGTGCAGGAATACAACATTCTTATTTCTTTTTTATATTTTTTCGAACGATCTATAACGTATACGGCACGCCAGATGGCCAGATATGCAATGCATTCTCTATCGCATGGATTCATTGCGGATGGATGGGGGGGACTGTTGCTTTCATTTAGCCTTGATATCTCTGTAGCGGATTGGGCTTGCAGCTTGAAGCGAATCGCTTGATTTTGTTGCATTTTTGGCAATCATCAAGCGATTATTATTATGAAAACCGGAACCCAGTTTGCTCGAGCCTTGAGCTGGCGCCTTTAAGACCCACCACAAACACAAACAAAACACACACAAAATTGTCTTTTCTTCTTGTTCACATATCTATCTATTTGTTTGTTTGTTGTGCCTTTTTATACCCCTTTGTTGGGGGTTTCTTTCTGTATGTTTTTTTTTTTATCGCGTTTCGCGCGTTTTGTTGGACAAATTTGTTGGGGAAACGGAACAATTGCTTCAGGGTCTTATTACTTATTATTGCGTTTATTGTGTGCGCCGTTTGCTGTTTTTGCTGTTTTTTTCTGTTTATGTTTTCGGTTCGGTTTGGTTCGGTTTGGTTTGCTGTTAGCGCGCGTGTCTTTTTTAATACTCATTTTTATTTTCATTCGCATTTTATTTGGTTTTATTCATGTTTCTTCAAGCCATCCGGCGGACTCGGCTCTCGACAGGGCAGGGCCCGGCCCGGAGTACGTGAGCGCCAAAGCGAATTACATTCAAATTAGTCAAAGCAGCTGCTCGGAGGGGGGAGCAAAGAAATAGGAGCAGGAGTGCTCCTTCAGAGCGGACGCCACCGCAAGAAGGCTCAAGCCGAGAGGAAAACGGGTTTACGATGTGTAAAAATCTTGGTAAATATTCAGCAAAGAATGGCTATGTATGGTATGTAAAACACGAGTATTAAAACCACACAAAAACACAGATATGAAAATGTTCTAACGAACCGAAAGTGGGGGGAAAACGATGGCAGGAAGAGGGCGGTGGGGAGGGTAGGTACTCCAGGCCACGGGGGTGCCGAATAGAGGCTAAGGGTTCCGTTTGGTCTGTGCGGCTGAACCACTCCAAGAAGAGGCCTGGAAAGTGGTTGAGGGGGGGAAAGCCAATGGAAAGCGAAAGCAAAAATATAGAGCCTTGTGCTTCAGGCCAGATCCAACCAAAAATTCTGTTGACAGGCTTATACTATATATTTGTCTATCCATAATCCCAGTAACATCTATCCACACCACTCTGTTTCATCGCCCTGTCCGTAACTCAATCTGAGAGCATGTTCTCACCATTCTGCCACTCACTTCCATTTCCACTTCCACTTCCACTGACTAGAGCTCCACCGCTCCACATACAGCTCCACCTTTAGCTCCAGCAAAACGCTGAGCTCTACTCGAGTGCCATTTGGGAGATTTGCTTAATAAATTGCAGCTACAATATATCGTATGAAGCACAATCTCAACCAATCAACCGGCACTACCGTGCCCTGCCCGGCCCTGCCCTGCCCTACCGTATTTATTTAAGCCCGAGGAGCCCGGGGAAGACCCGCCCCCACACCTGCTAGTACACGCAGAGAAAAAAGACCTGAGAATCGAATATTTACTTTTGGATTTAAAAATGTATGCACAATAGATAATATAAATATATTTCATATTTCAAATAATTTAATCGAAGTTTATAATAATTTCAAATAAATAAATCTTGAATATATTTTTGTTTAAGTCGTATTTAAATTCACTGTTTTTGTATTTTTAGAAACCGAATATGAAATTTAAATATGTGACTATTTTTCTCTGAGTGTACAAGTAGTGCGTCCCTTTCGGTAGCTGTCGTCGTCTTCTCTACAGGTGCTGGCTCCACTTGAATTTTCTCACGCATTTTTTCTTTCGTTGTGGCTGTTGCTGTTGTTTTCCTGTAACTACTATTTTACTATTTCTATTTCTGTTTCTGTTTCTTTTTTTTTAGTTTATTTTCGCTCTGTATTTCTCTATTTCTGTATATTCTGTGGAGTTTAGGTTTTTCTATTTCGTTTCTTTGTGGTTCGCTTCCGTCAGTGGTAGGGCCTTTCGACTAATTTCGTTTTCTTGTACGCTATTATTTCTTTTTATTGCATTTATACGGAAATTGGCGCCCCTCACACGCACACACACACACACACACACACATGCACAGAAATTAAACAAAATTATAACAGAAAATAAAAAAAAAGAAGAAGAAGACGAGAAGAAGAGCAGCATTGAAGGTGCACAGAGCGAAGGTCCGTAAAAAATAACCCAAAAAAGATGCAAACGGAGGCAAAAGATTAGCGAGCTTCCGCTCCGGCACAGAGCCCCCCAAAACGGAACCTAAAGGGAGGGGCCTGGAAATGACTCGAAATTAGAGCTGGCATCCAAATCCACATGAGGCTGTGGGAGAGAAACCCCGACTGGAGAAGATGATGATGATGATGATGATGATGGAAAGATGGAAATGGTGGTGCCAGATGCCAGATGCCAGGTGCCGGGGCAGTTGATTCTAGGGATCTATCCGATGCTGTTGCTGTTGCTGGGATCGGGATTGAGATTGGGTTTGGGGCTGTGGCTGTGGCTGTGGCTGGGGCTGGGGTGGACTGATGACGCTGCGTTTGGTTAGGTAATTAAAGGCGATTATAGACACGCTAGGTCCATCGGTGCAGAGTTTTCTTTTTGCTGCTCTCTCTCACTCTTCTTTATGGGCGATAAAGATTCGGTTTCATCGGCTCTTGGGCTTGGGCTTGGGCTTGAAGAGGTGCAGAGGGAGAGGGAGTAGGCTGTGGCTGGGAAAGCGGCTCAACTATCGGCTCTTAGCCGTCGGCGGCGGGGGGAAATTGATTATCTTTTTTTCGATGGAAATTACCACCGAATGATGATTGGGTGCTGGGTGATTTTTCAAGGCAGTGGCTGTCTGCTTTAAAGAGCCATCTCAGGGCCAGAAACATTTGGAGACTTTAGGCAAAACTGCTCCATCCTTTCACTCCTTTTGCTCTTTCCAGGCCATTTCATATAGGTCACCGTCCGACAGGGGCTCGGTGTGGTCTGCAGACGGACTGTGAGTGGGCCCTGGCTAACAAAACAAATCACTCCACTCATTGGCCAGGTCCATGCACAGTAGCTGGAGAGATGAAGCCAAGCCTGGAAGCCAAAGCAGTAGCAGCTGCAATTGGCCCCCTCCCCCCACCCCTATCGCCTGGCCCCTCCCCGCTTTTCTCTCTCTAAAACTCAAACAAAAAACTGAAACTCAAGTTGTGGGGGGGCCTCTCCTCTCTGGGCCTCGGCCCACCTGCTGTGGCTGAGGCTGAGGCTGGGGCTGGGGAGGGGTCGGCGAATGCCGAAAAACTTTTGCCCAAGTCCAAGTCGGGGAGGATGGTGGATGGAGGGAGGGGTGGGGAGGGGACGAGTGTTCAGTTCAATATAAATTTTTCAAAGTTATTTGTACCAGGTGGGCCTTTCTTTATTGATTTATGAGAGCCACTCTCGACGTGCCTAGGAGTGCGACTAACGTGGAGAGAGAGAGGGAGGCAGGCATAGGGAGAGGGAGAGGGAGAGGCGGCGAAAGCACAAGATAAACTGTAAATGACAAAAGTCTTCTCTGGTCGTCGAAGGAAGCTGAACATCCGCTGCAGCTTGCATCTAATAAACCGAACCAAACCGAACCGAACCCACCCGAAGAGCACTGCAGTCCGAGGCGAGTCGAGGCGAAGCGAGCCGAATCGAGCCGAGCCGAACCGAACAGAACTGACGATAATAAGTGCGGATGGATGGATGTATCGTGGAAACTGGTTTGGAGAAGGGGAAGTATCGTCATTAGCCCCAGCTATCGGATCGGATCGGATCGGTGGCTGCAGAGATGCTGCAGGAGCAGGAGTGGCTCTCTGCGTGACACGATCCATGCCCTGACTGGGATCGCTGGACCGTCTCTAGATGGTGCAGTCGGGCGTTGCCTTAGCACCTGTTCCCCAGTTTCCAGTTTCCAGTTACCATTTTCCAGTTGCAACTATAAATATCACAACAGATGCCTCAGACTGGCATTAAAGGATGCTGCCATGCCACGCATGCTGCAGCTGCACAGCTGCCCCACAGCTTCTTGTGGTCAGCGTCGGCAATGGACAGAGATGGAGATGGCGATGGAGATGGAGATGGGGAGCGATGGCTGCCCCTCTGAGGCAGCTGCCAAGAGTTGCATGCTCGCAAAAGGAAGCCCACTGGCCGAGGGAAGTTGCTGCCGCCGTCGCCGCCGTCGCCGCCGCCGCCGCTGTCTGCCTGACAAAACAAGCAACAATCTCCTGAAGCGCTGTGCCCGGTGCCCGGTGCCCGGTCCCCCTGCTGGGGCTGCCGTATCGATTGGATTTCGAGCAGAGCCACAGCTACAGAGCTACAGAGCTACAGAGCTTCAGCCACGGCCCCGAGATTTATGTGTGATAAGCGTCGCCTGAAAATAATTACTGTATCTGTATCTGGGTCTGGTCTGCCAGCCAGTATCCAGCATCGAACATCGAGCGACGGGCGAACCGAACGCCAGCGAAAATTGAAAACTGGAGCGGAAAGCGCATGGAACGGAAATGTTTTTTTTTTTTTTTTTTTGTTATATTCCTTCTTTTTTGTTGCTTGTTGTTTTCCCAGTGATTGGCATTTGGCGGCTGCTCGGAGCGCAGACCAGAGGAAG